TGCGAGTTATACGGCTATACCTATACGTCTCGGGCGAATTTGCGGCCGGACCCGCGGCGGCCGCGGGTCCGGCCGCAAATTCGTCCGAGACGTCAGATATGAGACAAAGTTCAATGTGCCGTTGCGGCGTTACATAAAGAGGAAGAAAAAGTATTATATGCATAAAAACCATCTAACAATTTAAAGAGCTAAACATCTCCGTTAAGTCCTTATGAATACGTTTGTAAAGTTCCATTGAGTTCCGTTCATAAATTTGGGAGATATATCGTGAACACTGGGTCTGCCTCAGAAATGTCAATAGTTCCTCTGTATAGCCATATAACTCATGAAGGAAGGCAAAATCGAAAATTTTTACACGAGCTAAACATCACCGTTTGGTATTCAGAAATTTATATTCAAAATTTCATTCGAATCTGTTCAGTATTTTAGAAGAAATCTCGTGTACACTGTGAATTTAAGCACGCTTTGCTATTTAAATGTCATAAGTTTCTTTGTATTTCCATATAACTCATGAACGAAGGAAAAATCGTAAATTTTTACACGAGCTAAACATCACCGTTTGGTATTCAGAAATTTATATTCAAAATTTCATTCAAATCTGTTCAGTATATTAGAAGAAATCTCGTGTACACTGCGAATTTAAGAATGTCTTGCTGTTTAAATCACGAATTAGGAAAAAGATAAAAATGCTCGCGAACGAAGGCAAATGTAAAAAATTCTCACGAGCTAAACATCACCGTTGAGTATTCAGAAATTTATATTCAAAATTTCATTCAAATCTGTTCAGTATTTTAGAAGAAATCTCGTGTACACTGCAAATTTCTGCACGTTTCGTCATATAACTCACGAATGAAGGCGAAATTAAAATAAATTGTCACGAGCTTGACACGTGTACCAAGTTTCATCGAGCTACGTTCAGTACTTTTGGAGATATTCTATGTACACTGAATCTGGAGCGTGGCCGCGGGTCTGGCCGCAAATTCGTCCGAGACGTTATACCTATAAGGTTCTTGGTTAAACCGGCCGGTAGAAAAGCCGGTCGTTCCTCCTATATCTGTATATCTGCGAACGAAAGCAAATTAGAAAATTGACACCAGCTAAACATCACTGTTGAGAGGTTAGGTATTTATTCACAAAGTTTTGTTGAAATCTGTTATGTAGTTTAGAAGAAATTTCTTGATCGCCGCGAATTTAAGTGACATGGTACCCGGCGATACGGGCCGAATATAAGGAAGTGTAAAATCAAGAATGACGGTGAAATGAAAAAAAAAATCGCAAACGAAGGTATAATCGAAGGTATAATAAAATAAATTTATAAGCTAAAAAAATCACCATTTGGTAGTTAGGAATGTATATTCAAAAATTCGTTCAAATATGTTCAATAGTTTGGAAGAAATTATTTGATCACTGCGAATTTCGGCCTGTTTCGCAATATACGCGGAACTCACGAATGGAGGTGAAATTAAAAAAAATTACGAGCTAAACATCACTGTTAGGTAACTTTTAAGGTGCTTATACACGGGGCTAGTAGTTGCGTATATTGGTTGCGTCTACTACAGTTTTGCAGGCTGAGAGCCTATACAAGAGTATAGTGTTTTCGGTACACACTACACTGCGCTCGCGTCAGTGCGACGTTGGGAGTTGTCGAGTAAGTGTGTGCACTGTGGAGGCATGCGAGAGCACGACAGCAGTGCGCGCTTCAGTAGGCGAGAGAGCGACGCATCTGTGCTCGGTATGGCGGCTACTGAGCGCAATAGAGTGGATAGACTGCTTCAAAACAACTCTAGTTGCCTTGCCTGCAATGAACCAGGTAGTTGCCTCTGAACACGTCAAGCATCACAAATTTTTGTAGCCTGGCCTAGTAGACGCAACTAATAGCCACGTGTATAAGCACCTTATACACGTGGTTCTGATGAATAAGTGTTCCAAGTTTCATAGAGCGGCGCTCATTAGTTTGGGAGATATTACTTGATAATTGAATGTGGAGATTAGTCGTGAGACCGGCCACGAGTCCGGCCGTAAATTCGCCCGCTACGTCCTAGGTTTCTAGTGCTGAAACAGAATAAACAGCAGAAAAACATATTGTTTCACTAAATGGGGTTCTATTTGTGAAATACACATTTGTGTTTAACCTTTATCTTTTAAGATTGCAGCGTACTAAATTTCAAGAAAGAGGCGTATGTCTGTGGGGGCGCTAGAAATTCACTAGGGAGCCAAAGGGGGCGCTAGCCTGAAAAAGTTTGGGAACCACTGGCCTAGTCCAATTAGTAATAGCCGACCGCTGGCAATTCCTCGGCCACATGAAAGCCGCCCGTTATAGCAAAAAAAAAGGCTGGCTAGGATATCATATTACAAAGACTACAAGGCCTAGCGAGGGGTAGTGACTGGCCGAGCTTGGAGCCGATCGAGGATTTCACACGATGATCGATAATATCTCGCTTTCAGACTTTGCCGCACTTTGATTATCAGAATTAAAAGCCATTGAGCAATCTGCTTGAGTATGGTTAGAAATCTGAAATTTATGGTGGTAATGGACAATGCTGGGCAGCGGCCACTAACATGCATTCTCCAGCCTGCAACTGCAGGAGCCAATCTTCGATTTCACGGCTTGGCGATGGCGGGGCAATGCATCGACGGAATCAGGTTGCAGCGCAAAGCTATTACCATACCATAACACAGTGATGTCGGCGCTGAAGTGCAGGCCTGATGTGGCCTGTCGCCCAATTCTTTTCCTTTTCGTGCCTAGTTCACAGAAGATCTAAAATCGTGTCATTTGACCGGATCTTTTCATGACTGACGATAGTTTGAAGTAGCTACTAGACTTCCACCGGGTTCGATAAACATGTCGGTGATTCCAAGCGAGAGGAAATTTTGTCGCGTGGAGAAGTTGCAGCGCAGTTTTTTTAGTTTATAGCCGTGGCCCTTGGTGTTGGTTCTTGTTTCAAATTCTAGTAATCCTTCGGGGACCTTGTATAAACCATGAGTATTCTTGTATATTTCAATGAGGTCCCCACGCAAACGTCGATAACTGAGGCTTGGAAGCTTCATAATCTTCAATCTTCCTTCATAGGACTTGCCCTTCAAGCCTGGAATTATCCTTGTTGCAAGTCTTTGAACATTCTCTAGTAAATTTCTGTCCTTTTCAAATCTCGGTGACCACACAACGTTTCCAAACTCTAGATTCGGGCGCACGACAGCAACAAACTGCTTCATCGCTTCTGCATCTAGGAACTCGTATGAGCGTCTGATTAGTCCAAGAAGTTTGTTAGATGTGTTAGCTTGCGTTTCAACATGCTTAGAAAATTTCAGCTCCTTGTCGGCATAAACTCTGAGATCTTTTTCCACACTAGACTTTTCAATCATTACTCTCTCGTTGCAGCCATGTCTTCTCATACTGTAATCTTGCTGTTCATTGTTCTTCCCGAGGTGAAGTACTTTACACGTGTCAGCATTAAACCGCAGCTGCCACGTACAAGCCCAGTTAACTGAACTGTCAAGATCATCTTGCAATTACGCTTTATTTGACGTATCCCTCACTGTATTATAAACTTTTGTAATAGTAGTCGCGTCACCACTGTAATTCGAATTATGTTGTGTTTGCATCTACAAAACGTAATACAAATTATTATTTGCTCTTAGTCTTAGAAGGGTTTCTTTTTCATTTTTTGTTCTAAAATAGTAATACCAACACCTCAGTATTTGAGGCAAAAAAAATATAACTCAGTACTCACTGCAGTGAGTGACAGAGAGCGCATTTTCTCGTCGACGAAAACTTGAGGTCACGGACAGACGGACAGACAGACGGACATGGCGAGCACAACAGTGCATTTTTCCATAAATAAGAAAATGCGCTAAAAACATTTGAGAAGCTCAGGATTTTCAGGAGAAGCTCGTTTATTACAAAATGTTCTCTGTTTCACGTCATGAGGAATAGTGTAATGGATCCGCTCTGTTGTGGTGACCGTATCGACAGGGCAGAGGACCAGCTTGTAATAAGCCAATTCTTGTGTCCTCCACCTGCAGTTCACGTTACGGTTATGACAAAGAGACGAGAATTTCATGGACGATGAAAGTTTTTTACGCCCCACAGGCAGCCAGGCTCCCATGTATTTGTTTAGCATCAATCGCGTAGAAAAATCTTAATTAATGCATAATTTAAATTGAGCCTGACATTCCAGAACGTGTGCATGGAAAATGAGCGGCACGTTGAAACATGCACGCCGCCTGAGGCTCTCGCATAGCTGGAAGGTAGAATCCATACAATGTCGGGTAACATACAAAGTTTTATTTGTCCCGCTTACGAAAAAAGTTTAAAACCTCACAGTTAATAAACAAAATAATATTAAATCTTTAGAGCTCTTTTATAACAGAAAAGTTAAACCCGTAGAGCTAATAAATAAGAAAATATTAAACATTTACAGCTGCTTTATAACGCTGGGTCAATCATGCCAGTAGAGAGCGCCTCCTAACAAACGACGATTGTGGTAGCGTTTCAATGACCTGGTAAAAGCAGGTAGAATTAATTTCACGCTATCATCAATATAATAAATTGAAGCTAAACAATGAAACAAATGCCAAGGAAGAGAAATAACGAACCCTCCACGACGGCAGCGGCAGTATTATTGCCCGGAATTATTTATTTATTATAAATATTATTATAGTCCGGAATTTAGGAATACAATAAGGAATTGAATTTATAGAACGAAAACCTGCCAACTTTCCCAACGAAAAAATATAAAACCGGCATCGTTCACATCTAGGACCGTACTCTCGAATCTCGCGGAAGTACACATAGCGGTCTAAGTACACGTAGCGGTATATATCTCGTCTGTGATTGGTGGATTTCGTTTGAAAAGCCGTCAGAGCAGCGCACCTTCTTCGCCACGATGGTCCTAGCAGTGCCCTAGACCACGATGGTCCTGGCAGTGCCCTAGGCCACGATGGTCCTGGCAGTGCCCTAGGCCACGATGGTCCAGGCAGTGCCTTAGGCCACGATGGTCCTAGTGCCCTAGGCCACGATGGTCCTGGCAGGGCCCTAGGCCACGATGGTCCAGGCAGTGCCCTAGGCCACGATGATCCAGGCAGTGTCTTAGGCCACGATGGTCCTGGCAGTGCCCTAGGCCACGATGGTCCTGGCAGTGCCCTAGGCCACGATGGTCCAGGCAGTGACTCATGTCCGCGTAGCTCCTGCTGATGGGGTACTCGAGCATGTACCCTGAACCGCCGTGCAGCTGCAGGCAGTCGTACGCCACCTTGTTGGCCAGGTCCGACGCCCTTGAGTTACGTAAAATTTATTCAAAATTATTGGGGCGGAGCTACAATTTTAAAATTATCCCTAAATGCAAGCAGAGCTTCAGTATAAAAATAATATTGCAACATTGTAGCGAAATACAATCGGCGAAGCTATAATATTACAATAATACTTTTCATTGTAAATGAACTTCAAATTGATTCTACCGAATATATTCTTCAGGCAAATAGATTAAGAGAGAAAATAGAAGGTGGAACTCACAACGTGCTGCGCCACTCACCAATACTTGTTCATAGCGGCGGTGAAGGCGTCCAGCCTGCCCTGCGTGTGTAGGCCTATACATTGGTCAGTAAAAGCTCGCGCCACGCAAATGCTCGTCTTGAGCTCCGCCAACTTGTGCTGGATGACCTGCATCTTGGCGAGGCTCTTGCCAAACGCCTTGCGTTCCTTGATGAAGGCGCGCGTGTCCTCGTACATCACCTCGCATGCCGCCGTGCACCCAAGCCCCACCATCAGCCGCTCCTGCAGCAAACACCGTCTTGTCATTTGGACAAATTTTATCAAGGAGTTGCAAATAAGAAGCATATGGTAACTTAACCTGCACCCATGAATTAATTAAATGAAATTAATTATGGCATCGTAATTGGTCTCACGTGGCAGCAAGCCTGGTTCTCTTCTTTGGTGCACGCTCAACGGCTCAAAGCTTTGGACTAGCAGCCTCCTACTCATTCGAATCAACAGCCTTCCATCGGTGAGTGTCGCTAGGGATAGTCACATATCTTTCGTAGTTCTGTCTCTATATCTTATGTATATGCGACTGTATCACACCATATACCTGTGTTTTCGCTTCCTCCCCTCCCCTTGCCCTGATGCCCCCTCCTCCAGGGGCACTTCTGCCTCGAACCCGACAGCCTTGTCCCAGAGGGCGAGAGGCAGTAAACAATAAGTTATTGATGGATTGAAGAATGATGGCGCCGAACAGCACCTGTTAATCAAAAGCTCCAAATTACGCGCACTTTATGACCCCTACCTCCACCGCTCTATAGTAATGCCTACATAGCGGACCCGGACGGTAGTTGCTTCCATCACATTTGGGTGTAGCTGATCCTATATAACAAGCCACGTCATCCAATACACTACCACGCTGACGGATTGACACAACTCATGTTTACCTCCCTCGTACCTTTATACCTCTCACTCTTTGTTCCATGTCAAAGATGCCACACACAGGCCCCGCACGGCACCTCACTATCGAATATCGATGGTTTTATTGGGGAACCACATCACCTGGGGCAGCTCCTGCATGAGCTGGTAGAAGCCCTTGTTGAGCTCGGTCCCCAGCAGCGCCTCCTTCGGCAGTCTCACGTCCTCGAAGAACAACTCGGACGTATCCTGTGCCTTTAGTCCAAGTTTCTTGAGCTTCCTGCCCTTATTGAAGCCCTTGGTGCCAGCGTCGACTATGAACAATGAGATGCCGTGGGCACGGGCCCTAGCATCCGGGTCCGTGACGGCCACGACGAGCACGACATCGCACAGCGTCCCGTTGGTGATGTACGTCTTGGACCCGTTCAGTATCCAGTCGTCGCCGTCGCGCACGGCCCGTGTCTTGACGCCTTGCAGGTCACTGGGAATAACCGCACCAGGAGGTCAGGTTAGAGACTCCCATTGCAAAAAACTTACTAGGGTGCTGTTGAATTCATTAGATTTGAGGTGAAGGAGATCTGAGCGTTAAACTACATATCAAGGCTAATTCATCGTATTGAATACCTTGCTCATTTCTTCATTCAAGAAAATTTTGGATCCAAAGACCGCAGGAAACTCAACAAGTGACTAGGGTAGTGTTGAATTCATTATATTTGAGGCGAAGGATAACATAAGCTGAGCGTAAAACTACGTACATGTCGAGGCTAATTTTTCATGTCGAATACCTGGTTCATTTCTACAATAAAGTAAATTTTGGAACACCCAAGCCAAAGACCGGCGCCCCACAACCCACCTGCCAGCACCGGGCTCGGTCATGGCAATGGCTGAGATTTTCTTGCCGGCCGTCATGTCAGGAACGTAACGTTCGATTTGTTCTTTCGTGCCGTAATTCGTAAAGTACGGCATAACTACGTTACTGTGCAACGAGAACCCAGGGCCCGAGGCTCGCGCGTAGCACCTGTAAATGTAACTTAATAACCAAATTTGCAGACTCAATAATTCAGAGGCTAGAATGTGTTGATTTTTCAAGCCGGATAAAAACTGCAAAATTAGATTCATATAGAACCAGGGGTTCGTACAAATTCCTAACAATCTGCAAGGCCACGGCTCATGAGCTAGTAAGAGTTCTGGACACACTTTCGTTATTGGTAATGAAGATATTGGTCTATATACTTAAATCTTCATAATAACAACTCTATACTTCGTCACCATTCATAAGGTATTGAAGGTTGTTTTATTTACGAAGTATCCGAGATGTTATAGAAAAAGAGCATATAATGAAGACCTAAAAACCGACAGCAGCTGCTACATACATTAGCAAGCTGACAAAACTAGCACCAACAAAAAACTGTCATGACCAATAATAATAATCGAAGAATACACACCTGAAACTGCGACCACGAGTAAACCAAAATGAATAAGAAGACCTCAGAAGTAAACCAAAATCTATAAAGAGGCCTCACTCATCCAAACTGTGACCAGCAAACGACACACTATGACTGTCACAAAGTTACGCACGGCTTGTAATTACATGCAATTCAAAGCTTGCAGGGGCTACATTGGAATGCCAAGCTTTGTGCCCAATTGGCACAAAGCCGATCGAGAAGAGAAGCACGAGTTACAAATAAAACGCGAATGTATTAACTTGTGTTCAGATGAAATAATCTGCATGTCTCCACTCACTGTTCTTCGACAGCGATGGCACTGTGGAGGAAGTCTGCCCCGTGGCCTCCCGCCTCCGCGGGCGTCCCGATACCGAGGAGACCCGCGGCCCCCGCCTTCTCCCACACCTCACGGGACACCTGCCCGTCCTCCTCCCACCTGCACGAGGGAAACTGGTGGACAGGGGACACCGATGGACAGGGGACACTGGTGGACATGAGACACAGGTGGGCAGGGGACACTTGTGGACAGGGGACTTCGATATATAAGGGCATTGTTGGATGCGTACACTAATCGACAGGAGACACTGCTCCACGTACTCACTGCCCTACTCACTGCGCATGGTTCTGCACCACTCACTGCGCATGGTACTGCACCACTCACTGCGCATGGTACTGCACCACTCACTGCGCATGGTGCTGCACCACTCACTGCGAATGGTACTGCACCACTCACTGCGCATGGCACTGCTCCACTCACTGCGTATATGGTACTGCTCCACTCACTGCGCATGGTACGGCTTGACCTCCTCACTGAAGAACTTGCGGGCGGAGGCCCTGAAGATGTCGTGGCTCGCGTCGAACAGGTCTCGACTGCCGATGTCCAGGAAGGAGTCCGCTTGTGAGGTCGGGATGCGCTGCCTGTAAAACAAGCTGGCTTTTTAAACTTTTTAAACAGTGATCAGAAGTGTCGAAATTTGATAATTAGAGGGCTTGTCACAAACAAAACTGGTGAACAGGAACAGTGAAAAACGAAGACACAGCTTCATAAGAAGTAGTAGCACAGAAATGTCTGTTTTCCAAGCTTAAATGATGTCGTGAATTGGTACGTAAGTGTGATCTGCATAAAGCACGAGTGCGCCAAGAGCCCGCTAGGCCAAAGGACGAATGGGTGGTGACAGTAGGGGACGCGGTTGGGATAGAGTAGGATTGAAAAGAGTGGAAAAGAAAAATAAATAAGAGATTAAAAGACTATAGGCTAAAGATGTGGAAGCAAGTAATGATGGGAAAGACTACTCTAAAACTGTATCAGATGAAAACGATGCCAAAATATGAATGCATGTATGATGGTAGTAGAGGTGGGGACCTTCTGTTTTGTGTGAGGGCAGGGGCGCTAGGTGTGAATAAACGTACATACAGGTGGAGTGAGAGGAGGGAAGATAAATGTTTTATGTGTGATGGGGATGAGACGGAAACTGTGCAGCACTTGTTGATGGAATGTGGGGCGTTTGAGAGAGAGCGTCAGTCTATGATGGAGGTGATTCTGAATGAAGGAGGTGAGATTAACGAAGTGGGGTATGAGAGAACAAGCGAAGAGTGGATGATAATGATTGTGGGTCTGTCTGAGAGTGTTGGAGAGTGTGAAGAGATATCTGGAAAATGTGTGGAGGTTGAGGGAGAGGATGAGGTTGATAAGAGTGGGGTCTTGAGGAGTGGAGGGTTGTGAGAGAGGAGGGCGGGAAGGCAAAGGTGACCGTGCCGAATGTTTTAGTGTAATGTTTTTTTTTCAGTATGTTGACATGTATAACTGAATGTTTTAGTCTTTTAGGATTGTTGTGAATACCTTTGAATTGAACTTATGGTTAACTGCCGAGATTGATGTGAATTTTTAATTTTTTTTTACGCTAGTAAAAGCGTTTTTATGCATCGTGAAGGTTTAAAGGTCTTGTCCGGACGTGAGCACGCGCCCAATCCCAATTCCTAAATTTTGGACATTCTAGAACGCGATGCATTGATTTGGTCAAAGACTTGTTAGAACACCCCGGTGTCTTTCTTTACAGTTATAAAGTATATAAAATAGACACAACTCCCGAGGCATATGATTTCAATTAAGCCTCTACCGCCATATGTCACTCTCCAGGAGCATGACTTTCAACTTAAATTATACGTAAACTATTGAGTTGTGTAGAGTAAACTTACAGCAGTGTAGCACCATGAGGACATTTGTACGCAACAGAGAACATTTTAAAGTTGTAGTGCGTGGCGGCAACCATCAGTGCAAGTCATTTTGCGCTCACTGGTATGTATCCTTTTTGGGAAGTAGGCTTGTGACAATATTGCTCTGCGGTTACTAATGTCAAGCGGTAGAGGGTTAATTTGAGGGACCAAGTTAAAGTATTATAAGTTCAAAGCCCTTAGCCCTGTTCCTTACTGATTACTACGCACCAACATTACAGCGTGCATAATCTAATTTTAGCTATGTAACACGATTTAGTGTCACTCCGGCGATGACAACTTACGGTTTGTGTTCATGACAACAATGTCTTGCCGCTGTCGTGGATAACTGCCTTTTCGTAGTCTGACACGCGATGTTTCCAACACGCATGAAACGCATACATGCGTGCGTTAATTTGTTTATCATCTTGAACTATTGAGGCAACAGATTGAATCTTATCAGATTTTCGCACCACCGGTCCTAGCTTCTAGAACAGAACCTCAGTTATCAAGTCGCTTCTTTCTGGAACTTGCAGCTTATCTCTGCTCGCAGTAGTTGTCTACGGTAAACAAACTGTAATAATTCTTACTTAAGAGTGTATATTTTTGTATTTATTAAGAATCAATAAAATAATTGGACGTGCCAAAGCAAGAATCTTTGCTTCTTATTGCGAATTATAAAAAGATAATTTGTAGACTGCGTTTCCACAGTGATAATAGCTCCGTCGATCACCACTCTCGTGCGCAGCTATTGGTCAACTGAATCTGTATGCCTCGTGTAATCGTGTTGTGTGTTTGTGGCTGTGCAGTCCATGCCAGTTATCACTTGTAATGCCGATGCATTGGAGCCAGACGTGTATGATGATTTTTAGAGCAGTGGCTTCCTAACTTTTGCAGGCTGGCGCCCCCTTGGCTCCCCAGTGAATTCAGCTAGCGCCCTCCACAGTCACATATGGAAACAAACAACTCTTTCATGATATATGGCATGATACAATTTGAAAAGAGAAAGATTAAACACAAATTTGTATGTCACAAATAAAACCCTATTTAGTAAACCAATATATTTTTAGCAGTTTCAACTGTTTCAGCAACATAGAATGGATAAACATAGTTTCAAAAATTTACACTAAAAACCCAAGAAAGGTTAAAAAAATATAACTCAGTACTCACTGCAGTGAGTGACAGAGAGCGCATTTTCTCGTCGACGAAAACATGAAGTCACGGACGGGGGGACAGACGGACGGACAGACAGACAGAAGGACATGGCGAGCACAATAGTGCATTTTTTTCCATAAATGAGAAAATGCGCTAAAAACAGATTTACGTGGAAAAACTCATCGCTTGGGGCTGTGTGCTGCACGTGTTGTGTACAAATCGTCAAACAAACTTTCGAACTGGACTCGACTTCAGACTGCCGCCCCCCTACCGCCCCCTTCTTCACCAGTCTTTCCACCGCCCCCAAGAGGGCGGTACCGCCCACTTCGGGAACCACTGATTAGAGGAAACACTGAGTGTTGACTGTAGACCAATGTTTCTACGGATACATTAATCGCCTTAATTGTTATCCTCATTTAACAGATAACTGGGGTTGGGTTTGGTTGGGTTGACTTCTGTGTTGAGGACAAAATGATATACGATTCCTACAGGAATATTAACGAGTACCTAATAAAGAACAATTTTCTTCGAAGGTAGATCAGACAACCTGAAATTTTTAAAAACTTGGATCTTTGTTAGTGTTCAGCATTACACATTTCTTGGTCAATTTTATGAAAATCTTCATTTTTTTGCTAATAAGATATGTGTTCAAAAATCACCTTATGCAACTCAGTAGCATTAATTTTGATTGCTCTATTTACGCCCGAACTAGCGTTCTTACAGCAGCAACATGACTAGCGTTCTTACAGCAGGCACGTGACTGGCGTTCTTACAGCAGGCACGTGACTAGCGTTCTTACAGCAAGCACGTGTCTAGCGTTCTTACAGCAGGCACGTGACTGGCGTTCTTACAGCAAGCACGTAGAACACAGGTCCACAGCAGGCAAATCAAGTAGGCGTAGGCTCATACAAACAATAAGTGCCGAACATATTAACGTGTACTTTCTGTTCAACTAAATCAAAAGTTTTTAAGACTAGAACTGACCTGACTATAAATTCTTTGGCAGAGACAGTCGACAGGAACTTTGTGACGCATTTTGGGGCATCAGCTGCACTCAGAAGCCTACGTAGCTTGCGCATCCCGAAGTGAGAAATGAGACTCTTCTTGCAAAGGTATGTTAGCGCCATAGGGGCGGGTGTCGCTGTTGTTTCAGTATTTGAGATTGATTGGTGCCCATCGGGTGGCGGTGTATTAAACGCATCTCTCGAAATATTAAAATTAGAAGGTAATCTATATAATTCACGCCTGCGCTGGAGGAAGTTCAAACTTCAAAGGTGACACTTAATGCAGTAATTCAGAAAATACCAGATTCAGGCAAATATACCAGAATACCATATATAAAATATTTATACCAGACACTTTCTGAAAATACCAGAGTTGTAAAATCTGGTATATAAATATACCATCTGGCAACGCTACTGCGGAGCAGAGCGGAACTGCGTTTGATTATGCCGTGTGCATTACTGCAGCCATGGTGACTGCAGCAGCGAGCCTGCGACCCAAGTTTCTGAATTCCCATGCCTCAAATCGCGCTTGCATGGAGTCACGCGCAAAGTTCAAAGTGCGCTCATGATTAAAAGTCAACCGAACACACACAAGGATCGATGGTGGGAGGTATGTAACTGCCTTTTTAAATTGGTCATTGGGTCGTCTACCGAAAACACCACTGCCCTGGATGTGATGGACCATCATGATTCCTACCTTCCTGAACGTAGACTTCAACACTTCTGGACAATTATATCTAGGCCATGCGTCGAACCAGCCCTCGGTCGAACGGCCATTCCCCGAAGGACGATAAATTTTGTAACAGAACTATGCTATCTGAACAAAACATAACATATAATATATTGTTCACAATATCTCGAGGAGTTCTAAGTTTAAGAATAAAGGCTAAAACTAAAAAAGTTGCATAAAACATTTTACTGAATAGAAGTCCTAGATAAACAAAACAGAACGTTTCGGGCTATGCCCATCATCAGCTAGTAAAATACATCTGGAAATACATGGAAATCAATTTTAGGAAATAAATTTAGAAAATGATAAGGAAAGAAAGGAAAAAACACAACTATTGACCTAGAATCGAAGGAGGATAAGAGCTGGATTGGTTATTCAATTTAGGTTTAAGTTTATGGATGTAAAGAGACTCTAAAATTCGTAGATCGGTTTGGCTGCTAGCGTTACAAAGAATTTTAAATTGATTGATGGACACGGGAGGAGCAAGTGATGCTCCACCAAGCTTAATTTTAGGTACACACGCATCAACTGCAGACATAACCGTGTTCTTGAGAAATGACCATGACTCAGCCACATTCATGTCCTTAATACAGTTCGAAATATTCACTGCATTCACTGCTTCAATGAGTTTATCATAGTCGCCTTTCGCAAAATTCAAACGCTCACGCTTTCGAGGCGTCTTCTCTGTACAGCACTTTAGACTGAAAAACAATGATTGGTGATGGCTTTTGCCCAATGGAGCCTCATGACGAAGATCATCTTACATTGATTCATCACTAGTAAACACCAGATCTAGAATATTGGGAGTCTACTTCTAT